TCCCACAGTCACTGCATCAGGGCAAACCTGCGGTGAGCCAAAGTCATCCAAAATGCACTGCGCGCTTATTGGGCATGTCTACAACATAATGGAAGTCCAAGAATACCCAACATGCATTAAAAGTTGCATGGAAGATGACAACTGTGTGAGTCGCAACTACAACTTGGTATCGCAGCAGTGTGAGCTCAGTAATGGTACAAAAGCTTTGTTTCCAGATGAATTTGTGAACAAAAATTACTCCATTTACACAGAGATGCTTTGATAGGCCTTTGCTTGACCTCTGTTTGTCGATATTAAAAGACTGTTATACCAGCTACACTCTACGGAATAGACTAAAACAAACTTTTAATTTAGAAGACACACTTTTAGAAATTAACGTAAGGTAGCTCACAACGGTTTTGTTGTCTTCAGATAGGACTGCAAAGGTTTATGGTAGATCAATATTACAATACTTTTTTTTTCCACCCTACAATAATGGTTCTAGTGAATAAACTTTTGATCACTATTTTGACTACAAAACGTTACCATGACAACGTTATAACTCGTTACAAACACCCTTTTGAGCCCTATCTGCTTATAACTAAAAAACGAGTCGTTGACTCCATTTTTCATTATCTAATTCCAATTAGCTTGAAAGAACTATCTTTTTACAAAATGAGCTGGAAGTGTCTCTCTACTCTAAAAAGGTGGAAAAGAAACCCGAATAACAGGTTCTTTTTATCACTATCAAATCCATAACTTTTATTAACTGTAAGTAAAAAAATGGCCATTAATAAGAAGAACCCAAAAAGAATAAGAAATCTTTGAAAATTAGACAGTTCATGACTTATCTAGGAATGCGTGAAAAAAAAAACAACAATAAAACTATATCAAGCGCATGTTTCATATACGAAGATTTCTACTTTAAAGAGCAAAGAAAACGTACCAATTTTTGTCTTTTTACAAACTAAAATACGTCAGCAACAACGCTATAAATATAAAGGTGTCCTTATAGCCATTGACTGGCTGCGTGAAGTTAATTAAGGTCACAAGTTTCAAGTGTGTTGTGTTAGATAGGAGATTTGTATTACAGACAATATTATGGCCATACAGTTCTTAAAGATGATCAGGATGGACCTGGAAAACTTCACACGAACGATCAAGAATACCAAGTTCAAGATTATCACACAGATGTGGCGCATAACGGTTGTTGTATAGATCGGTTGTTCCATGAGTTCCCCTTCAACGAATTTGTATTCAGCCATTTGGAATGATGACAAAACGATGATCATGACGGCGCCTAAGGTCAGAAAGCTCTTATGAACTCCATAGGAATTGCCTTTTAGAGTACTGTCCAACATTTCAATTCCATCGATGAGATCAGAGACCATCAGGATGGATAAATTCCGGACAAGATCTCGGTGATTTCTGGAGCCAAACGAATCATCCGCGGTGATCAACAACAGCAGAAGCAGGATAGGTGTTGCGCATACCGTTAACGTTAAACTATTTATACCGGATGTTTGTAAATCTTCCGCCTTATAAACGGCAATTCCACCAAATATACCCATTACATTTGGCACAAAAACAAAGCCAATGTACAACTTCCATCCAAAAAATAACTGGGGAAGAATAAATCTATCAGTCCGTGTCGCTACTAGTAGAAGAATCTCGCTTAAGGCTGAAACGATGACGAAATACAGGAACAAAAATAAAATTATAGCAACGCGCTCCAAATCTGAATGCAACCACCCACTATTTACAAGTCCCATTGACTGGAAAAACACAAAGGCTCCAAGCTGAATTACGAACAGGATGAACCATAAGACACGACCACACCGTTTTATAATCGCATACGCCATTTTTTTCTCGAGGCGCTGTCTTAACAATCTCGACCACCGAACTAAGGGGCTAAAGGCGTTGTTGCGTAATGTATCGCCCATATCGAATGCTGAGGGTTCTCAGTCACGCATTTTTCACTCTTAATACCAAACTCTGAAACAGGAGAGTGACAAGGAATTTTTTTATAAATGCCCAAAGAGCAAGATGGCCTACACAGTCAAATGTATCTATAAGTTTTAAATTCGGAAAAAATCGCAAAAGATTTTTTAAGCTTTTTGTATGAGAGATATATATGTCTGGAGATGAGAAGTTCCCTTTCTTGTCACACCAGCCATTCACTACATACTCCTTTTCACAAAAAATGCATACTGCAAGAGCATCCCATATAATTTTACATAACGTATTCGCCTCACTTTGAGCTTCCCAATCGGCATCGAGTCGCCCCTGTGCAATGATTTGCCCAAGCGCCCATACCATAGCGCTCTCGCAAGACGCACAGCTGGACCTCATACCCATCCTGTTGTTACTGAATCTTTTGCAAAAAACCTGTAGGGAGCCACTGGACAGAAACACAGTAGCCCCGTAATGATCCCCAAATCGACCCCGAAATAATACCGACCCCAAGAAGATCAGATAGACACTGAAATAACAAATCAGCAAAGAGAAATGCGACTTGAGGTTTCCTGATATTTCGGATGGACAAGCCGTCCTTCTTCAGGGGATTTAATCAAGAATCGAATTTTATATAAAAAGTCCCAAGATGATCCCCGTTTTGTTCAGCGGTGAACTCGAAAGTAACTCTTGGAATAACAACTGAAACCGAGGTTGAAAATTTATGAATATCGTTCACTCTACACCTTCCAAAATCCTCCGTCGTCATCACTGTCGTTCTTATCGTCATCGTCACCAACAGCAGCATCATTTTCATTTTTCAACTTCATCGTGATCTTTGGCACTTGAACCGTATCCAAGCCGTTGGGAACCTCTTGATTTATTTCTTCATCATCGACATAGAGGGTGCTTTGGTTTCTATGAGTACTGTAAGAGAGAAAGTATCATGTACTTTTTCATATCGTACACTTCGAGTGCGCTCATGCATGGGCGGAGCTGGGCTTCCACTTTCACGGACTCTATATAAAATGAACCGGTCCATCAAAACACTGTGACATTAAGCCTAGTCAGTGGGGGGAGTTGCTTGCTCCGGGTTATGGACTCCAGACGAAAGCGGAATCAACTAATTGTTTTACCATTTATTCAAAATGTGTCCGGGTTTCAAAATATGCCTACCTCTATCGATATAACGTTCCTGTCTTTATTTTTCTGTTCCTCAGCATGTAAGGAGATGTTTTGTCTAGTAGCTATTCTTAAAATTGGAGTTATCACTTATCGAATGGTATTTTGGCCATCTTTTTTGGCAGTAGTTCGGCTGTTTCTTCTTCGCAAAACTTGTGAAATCCTCCTCTTTTTTCAC